AAAATACAACCATTTAAACTGGGTGTTCGGATTTATATGCCACTTAGTATATTTGACGCCTTTATTCGAAAATAGAACAGCATCGTCTACTGTGACCATATCGTATCTCACTACATACGTAGTGTTTCAAAAATGTCTGGGGTATAAATTATATCCAAAAATGACAAAAAGCGTTTCTATAAATAAGGGTCCAAAGATCCTTTCTTTTGTTACACGCATGTGAGTAGATCGCGCCGTAGTAGTTGTTTAAGGCACATGTGCCTAGTTCATCATGCAGCGCTGCACGATCACCCAACGCTTCAGTATTGTTAAAACGTTTTAATTAAATAATGAGTCGATTGTTGCAACGATTCGGAAGCTACGACAAGATTTCGGTCTATATGATGTGCCCAGTGTCAACACCATCCGTCAGTTAAAGGTTTGCTAAGGTCGGGCCGTGTTCGAACTGTTCGTACTCCGGAAAATATCGATAGAGTTCGTGAAAGTGTAGTAGAGCGCCCTGAGACGTCTACCAGACATCGTTCTCAAGAAATGGGTATTCGTCGCACGTCATTATGCACTATTTAGAAAAAAGACGCTTTTACGGCCATACAAATCTCAGTTAATCCAAGAACTACAGCCTAGTGACCATTAAAGTCGCCGACAATACAGTCATGCAATATTTATACCCAAAATAACGATTTTTACCGACAACTGATAATGAGCGATGAAGCCGACTTCGATATGAACGGATTTGTTAATAAGCATAATTGTCGTAACTGGGCATTAGAGAACCATGAACGACCACTACATCCTCGTCGAGTCACAGTTTCGGGCGGTGTTTTGTATGGAGGTGTCATAGGACCTTTCTTCTTTGAAGACGCTGCAAGTGATTATCTTATTGTCACTGGCGAGCGCTAGCGTGATATGGTGCAAAACTTTCTGGCTTCTCAAATCCAACAATTTAATCTGCAACACATGTGGTTCCAGTAGGACGAAGCGACTTGTCACACAGTTAGGGAAGCAATGAATCTTTTGCGAACAATATTTCCGGGACGTTTAATTTGTTGATGTCAACTGGCCACCAAGGTCACCGGATTTAACGGCTCCTGACTTTATGGGGATTTTTGAAAAACAGGGCATATTCCAACAAACTAAATACTGTAGAACATCTGAAGAACAATATTACGGAAGCGATTGATTAAGAGGGTTCAGGTTTGCGCAGCTTTTAGAGGCCGACATTTGTCTGATATTATTCTTCATAAATAGTTCCAATAAAAGATTAAGATGAAAAAAATGGACCAACTTTATTTCATTTCACAAATATTCATGAGACAAAACAGCCGGTTACATATCAGCCACCCTGTAGTGATGTCTACGGAGCTGGTGAAGATATCCAGTTAGGATTTTAGACGTTTCCGGGAACATAGAACCTGGACGCGTAATAGGAAATATTGTCTACGACACTGGGCTTTTCGGAGAAAATAAGTGCCTAAAATACCATTCAGTTTTCCATCAATTTTGTCTAAGTCCTAAAATATTCTTATAAAAAGGTTCAGCATCCCCTATTCTGAAAACACCATGAAGCTTGGTATTGGAAGAAAGCTGAGGTATCTCATTACAACATTAATCGAATAATATGCTTGTCTCACTCTCAGTCAGTAGCGTAAAGGCTTAGCATTTATTAAATCTTATCTATGCACGCCACTGATTTTCATGGTAGGTATACTTCTCCTGGTATTACCCATGTTAGACTCTTCCATTTATCTAAAATCACAAGTATTTGTGGAAACAGTCAACTTGAGTAACATAATTCCACTTTTAGGCTTTTTTCTAGAAAAAGAAGGTATCACAAATCCTAAGCAACTTCGGGCACGAAGTATGAGGACGAAGTATACTAAGTGACATATAAATCTGAACAACCAGTTAAAATGGTTTTATTTTAATAAAAGTTGATGAATGTATTTATCTTACTGTGAATAACAAGTGAAAAAATTTTCAGCCTTATCAGTTGGACATTCCGGTCTTTATACTGCTTTTTTTTAATTCACTAACGCTCTAAAAATGACTATTTCAGCCGCAGTAAAGAATCAACGTTGGCGGATTTTGGTTCTTGACATCCTTTACGATCGGTTACGATGCCTAGAGTACGGAGACCTGTACGATTTCGTCAACTTAGTGAGTTTAATAGGGGCCGTATAGTGGGACTTCGGGAAGCTGGACTTTCTTTTCGGGCAATTGCACTTAGAGTGCAAAGAAGTGTAGACACTGTGGTTAGGTGTTGTCAGGCATGGCTTCGAGAAGGCCGTACGCAAAGAGCAAGGGGCACTGGACGCCGCCGTAGAACAACAGACCGTGAAGATCGCCGCCTAAGATTATTGGCCTTAAGGGACCGTTTCTCCACTACCAGGTCCATTGCAAATGTATGGTTTGCAGAACACGGAAGACCTATTCGCATGCGAAGTGTTTACCGACGAATGAGAAGTTTTGGCTTATTTTCATACCGGCCACACTGGGTCCTCCCTTTAACTCGAGAACACCGACGTAATCGCCTTGAGTGGTGCAGAGAACGGTCACTCTGGGATCAGGAATGGAACAGTATTGTCTTTAGTGACGAGTCTTGATTTTGTTTAGGCATGCGCGATGGTCGTGCCAGGGTTAGAAGGCGACTTGGTGAAAGGAGGAATCCACAGTTTTTTGTTGAAAGACATGTTCATCACACTGTTGGAGTTATGGTTTGGGGTGCTATATCTTATGGTTCCAGGTCACCTTTAATCTTCATCAGAGGTAACATGAACGCGCAGCGTTATATCCACGAAGTTCTAGAACCCCATCTTTTACCCTATCTTGACACCCTGGCAGATCCAACTTTCCAACAAGATAATGCCCGACCACATGTTGCAAGAGTCACAATAGACTTCTTTCAACATAATGATGTCACATTGTTACCATGGCCACCGTCTTATCCCCAATTGAGCACGTGTGGGATATGATGGGTAGGAGATTGCTCAATTTGCAACGTCCTCCTCAGACTCTAGAAGCACTTCGAGAGGAGTTGGTAGTTGCCTGGAATGAGATACCACAGGAGGACATTGACCACCTGATCAGAAGCATGCCTAGGCGCGTTGGAGAATGCGTAGCACATCAGGGTGCATCCACACATTATTAAAGGTCAAAGGGCTTTAAAGCAGTGCAATCATTTTGAAATTTTTATCATTTACTTATTATGCTTCATTAAGTACTTATACAAAATTTTATTAAAATAAAACCACTTAAACTGGGTGTTCGGATTTATATGTCACTTAGTATATACAGATGTCTTTCAACACTGTTCGTACTACGCCGGGTATTTTGCGAAGAGTCTTTGTGGCGTAGAGCCCAGGCTTGGGTTAAATCCAGAAGTGGTCACTTTCAACGCCTCCTTTAGGTTGGATGTTATTGCATTTATTTTGCATAGTTTTTTGTTCCCCATACATTTTGGAGTAACCACGTAGTTCTGTCAAATGTAATTTATTGTTGTCATGTTTATTTCTTAATCAGATTAATTTATTTATTTCTGAAATTGACGTTTTGTTTGAATTGATGTTTCTTTATCTATAAACAAAAATGAATATGTCTCATAACCAGTGGCGTACACGGGAAAGGTTTGATGAATTGTAAGCTTCTACGCTACTGATTGAGAATAAGGTACGCATATCATTCAATAAATGTTGTAATGAGGTGCCACAGCTTTCCTCACATGTCATAGGTATATCAAGTTTCACTGTGCGTTCGGAATAGTGGAAGCTAGACCTTTTCATAAGAATATTTTAGGATTTTACCTCAAATATTCAAACCTTAATATCTCCAAAACAAGTGATCTGAAGAAAATTCCTTAAGAGACAAGATTTATGGAAAATTGATTGGTATTTTATAAAATGCACTTTTTTTCTCCTAGAACGCCAGTAGAGCATATTTCCTACTATGGGTCCTCGTAGCACAGTCTCTACGTCCCTGATTTAGTTTGTGCCTGTATGTTTATTGCTCACTGAACGTCTGAAAGCTCAGTATCTTGACGCGCTCCAAAGATATATTCTTTTAATTTTGTGAATAAAGCTTCATCACCTTGTATCTCGGTAAGGGATCCTTGGACCCATATTTATAGGCAATTTTCTTTTGTTATTCTTTGATGTTCTTTCTACCTTACAAATATTGCCCCATCTTTCTGACACACCTCGTATAGAATTTCCTGATAGTCTCGGATTGTCATAATAAAAATCATCTCCATTCTCTGTTAGTCATTGCCCATCATAGCGGTCCGTGGGACCTTTGCTCTTTGTTAAGGTCCTAGATCAGTAAGTCTGTCAGGTCTGGTTGACCAGATACCAGACGAAGTCAGGGAGAAAGAAAGGAAGGAAGGGGAAAGAGCAAAGAGGGTGAAGTGCGCCGGTTAAAGGGAAGCCTTGCTGTTGTTAATTGGTATTCGGTTATTTTACATTAATCCAAAAACTTTTAGAATTTAGAAATTTGTGTGTGGAAAAAATCGTAATTTTGGTTGTATCTAGAATTGCACGATTTGATTTTGATCACAACGCGAGCCGCGGTCTTGTGTGCTTGCGAACTTGCTCGACTGTGTATTCTACTGACTCACGCAACAGAGGGTTGCTCTGCGATTCTACTTGACTACAACGTAACTGCGCCTGATGCTTAACGTAGTCCCTTAGGTAAGGGATGTCGGGGTCTCTGTGAAGGGTTTCGTTGGAGACATACCATGGTGCGTTAGTGATGGTTCACAAGGTTCTGTTCTGCAAAACCTGCAGATTACACTTATGCGTTTTGGCAAGAGAACACCATGCTACACATGCGTAAGTGTTTGCTGGCCTGATAACCATCTTGTGTAGTCGAACTTTGTTGACCAAACTTAATTTTGAGGTTCTACATAGCACAGGATAGAGTTGCCGAAACGTAATTTGGAATTTAGTTTTTAACGCTTCAGTGTGATTCTGTCAGGTCATCCCCCTGTCAAGAGTGACACCGAGATACTTAGCAGAATTTCCCCATGGTATGCGAGCTCCATTCACTGAAACCTCAAGTACAATAGATAGCCTGCGTTTTCGAGTTATTAATTTTGATTAGCCACCGATCTGTCCATTCCAATACCTCATCCACCGCACTTTGCAACCTGTCGTGAACCAGATGGTCATCAGCATATAGATAGACTTCACAGTCGCTAGGGCAAGGGACATCATGCGTGAAAAGTGAGTAAAGTATTGGCCCTAGAACAGAACCATGAGGAACGCCGGCTCTGATGAGCCGTACTGTCGACAAGAAATTATTAATTTTGATCCGAAATTTACTACCTTCAAGCAAGGATTTCAAAAGTTTCAATAGCCAAAATGGAAAGCCCTTTTGAATTAGGTAGTTTATAGAGAAGGCCCTTGTGCCACACTTTGTCAAATGCCTTCGAGACACCCAGAAGCAAGATGCCAGTACTTTCGTTAAGGGTGAAGCCCTGGTTATTCGCTCCACAAGCCTAACCGCCTGTAACTCAGTTCTATGCTCAGGCCGAAGTCCAAATTGCACGTCAGGAATCACATGGTGACCTGACGAAAAATTCGCAAGGTGACGTAGAATCACCTTTTCAGCGAGCTTAGACGGAGCAGACAGTAGGCTCATGGGACGGTAGTCATGGGGAAATATCGAACCCACCTTCTTTGGAATCATTATAACTTCCGCAGTCTTCCACGCCGATGGCATGGCATTAATAATAGCCACGAGATAAGTCAAGGACTTCCGTGAAAGCAGCTTCAACACCTTATTAATGATTCGATCCTCTCCAGGTGCTTTACGCACCTTGAGGTCTTTAATATGATCTTGGAGCTCTGCTGGTGTGCAATGCGGAGTTTCAGGAGATTCCGCTGATGTGTTATGCAGCTCTTCAGTTGAGGAATCTTCTGAAGATTCCTCTGAGGAAAAATCACTAACGGAGGCACTACTGCTACTGACTCCGTTGACCCTAAAATATCTCCTGACGGATCTTACAATATGTTGCTCCTCATCGAGATCATTATCAAGATCATAGTTGGGAGAGAACTATCGTTCCATAGCATCAGCGAAAACTTCGACATTGTCCTCTGTCTTGAAGTCTATGCCCCCAGGACCGTGGATGTGCGGGAGTTGTTCTCGCTTTCCGTTTCTGAGCGACTTCGCCACTTTCCAGAGAGGAGTACTTGAGTCAAGCATCCCCGCCAGAAAGTCGTTCCATTGCTCATTGCGGAATCCATGGAGAGCATTTCATGAACAAGATGTCGCTCTTCGAATGTCATCAGTATGACAAGTGCTTAATTGCAGCTCTTTTGTCAGAAATATTCTGCGAATGTCTGTAGGGAGAAATAAAAATCATCTTCCCAGTTTATGCATAATAAGTACGAAGCGGCAGGGGTATACCGTATCTTGAAAAGTGACATTATGTTGATTTTTTACATTATATTGGTTCTTTGCGACAAATAGATTTTTATGCATGTCAACTTAACACTAGCGGTTGTACACTTGTTGTGTACTCGTTCCGTAGCTGTACATCTTGCCTAAACGGCATGATGCTCCAGCTATCGATGTTTGCCTCTGATGTGATGTAACATCTGCTTCAGAGATGGCGTTATTGGAGGTCTAAGCTGTAAGTTTAATACTATAGCTGGAAGGAAACGGCAGTGCATAGCTGCATAGTGAAGTAATCTATGTTGATGATAAGTTCATTGGTCTCTTGTCTCAAATACACTTGCTTACGATGTATGCAAAGCTGGATGTCAAGTGTAAAAAACAAATCTGCACAGCCTAGATGTGAGGCAGTGCGAAAATGTGTCTATGTGATGCGTAATTTCTAATTTTTCTGTGATGTGGCTTAATTGAACATAACGCGGGTGCGGTGCTCATTTCCCGTGATGCTTGTAAAGGTTTTTGAAAACACAGAAAAAACAGAAAAAGTCGTAGTATATAATTTTGAACATAACCACTCTTCAGAAAGGGTAACACAAGTAATCCGTCCACAGCTAATAGATATGTTTCATGGGCAGCATATTCAAGAATGCAGGATGCAGACCAAAACACAGAATCATCCAGATATGATCTTGCTATTCTGCTAAGCAACCACAATAGAATATACTGAGTATCTCGGAATTCTGCAACCAAGAAAGCATGATGAGGAACTGACTTGCAGCCTTGGTGCATGGTCATTGACGGTGTCGTGTCGTTGAGTCATTCGTCCTTTAATGGGCGCTCATAGCGAGCAAACGCGGAATGTGCTATATGCACATTAGGTTTGTTTTTCGACGTTTTGTTACGTAATAGCCCTGCCGAGCAGATTTTGTTTTTTGTCTCCAGACACCTCAATCGAGAATTAGTGGCAAGCTCTGCATTTTTAATTAAAGAATTTATTTATAGGTTATATGTTGGCTGACGAAGGATTCGACGTATGGATGGGAAACGAAAGAGGCAATGTGTACTCAAGAAACCACACAGTCCTCAATCCAGAACATGATGCCGCTTTTTGGGACTTTAGTGGGCACGAAATTGCAATATACGATTTGCCCGCCATGGTGGACTATATCTTAAATCAGACCGGCAAGGACGGCTTGTATTACACAGGACATTCTTTAGGTATAACTCCAAGAGTGACTGTTATTCTTACCTTATCTTGAAAAAATTTTTGTGATTTGTTACATTTATGAAAATAGCTTTGATATTGGTCCTACCTTAGGTTAAGATATTTTCATTAAATTGTATTTAATGTATGAAATGGCATGTAAACTGGTGGACTTATGCTTCGCAGCATGACCAACTTCAAATCTCGATATTTTCGGACCGGAGTTGCGGTATTTGGGAGGTTTTTGAACAACTCTTTGAGAACACGTGCATATTTCTTTTATTTATCCACTTGCACACACAGAGTGAGCAAAGGAATTGTGTTTTTTTACCAAAGTTTGGGGCTATGTCGGATTCTCAATTTTTGATCTTGGGAATGTTTCTATGCATCTTTTTGAACATTGGACTATCCTAAAGAAGACAGAAGATTTGAGTTTGGGTAAAATTCTCCATGTTACAGAGCAACTGTCCACCAGTTTATATTGAAACATAGTTTCTGTTTTTAGGCAACACCTTATTTCTGGTAATGACTTCACAACTTCCCGAATACAATCAAAAAATTAAAGTACACGTTAGTTTGGCTCCCGTTGCATTTGTAGAAAATGTTTTCAGCCCCTTGATGAGGATCTTTGCTTTCTGGGAAAAACCTATAGAGGTAATATAGTTTCATTTTGATAAATACTTTAGCTACTAACGACAATGTTCTCATTACATAAGTGGTAAAAATGCTCACAAAGTTAAAAAGACATGAAACATCAGACACGGCATCTAGATGCAAGAAATAGTTCTGCTTACTTTCATTGACAGCACTATGTTTTTTTTTTGAAGAACTACAGCTCGTCAAGTGTAGGAAGAGATATGAGGATTTTCCGGGATTGCGCAGACGAGAGAGGGAGAACGCATTCTGAGGAAACAAAGATGGAGACAGAAAAAAATCAGGCAAAATCCGCAAAAGGAAGAAGGAAAGTGATTCGAGTAGAAAATTTCGGGCCTGATGAAGCCAACCAGCAGAAATACGCAACACTCGGGTTATCTATCCTATTTTCTGCTCGAATCCACTTTCCTTCTTTTTGCGGATTTTGCCTATTATTTTCCTATTTTTTGTTATAAATAGGGTGCTTCAGTTTATTGTTGCATGACTTTAAGATTCAATAGAACTTTTAAAATTAATGCATAAAGTCTATATAAACATGGGTTGAAAAATGCGTGGCTTCCGAAATACAGGGTGTTTAAATTTACTTTCTAAAATAGTTTTTTTTACATATTTCGAACAATATTTGATGTATAACAGCGACAATTGGTACACAAGGGTTTTTTGGTACGGCAAAACGAACCATGGGCATGGTTTTACTGTAGCCGCTAGAGGACGCTCTCTACTGTACCTGTAGTGTATTAAAATGACCGAAAATTTTGTCTCAGTGCAATTTTTTACTTTTTGAATAAAAAACTGATTATTCGCACTTTTCAACATAAAAAACCTCTCCTGTGAGTTTTCGTTATAGTTAGCCGTTTTTGAGATATTTCGATTGCATTTTTAATTATTTATGGGAAAATAATATTTTTTTTACATTTTCGATTTGGGCATTACACGTAATTAAGACGATCGTTTAGATTGTGTTTTGAAACACAGTAATATTTCCTAACTCCAAATAAACACAAAAAAACAGAATATTAATTTGTTTAATTTTCCAATATTATTTTTAACAAATTAAATTAATTATTTACAACTAAAATGCTGTTGGATAGTTAGGACAAACATACAAAATCTAAAGTAGTTGCTCGAAATGTAAACCCAATTGTTCAATACACAATTCACATCTACAAATGATCGAACGTGGTATAGCATTATTCAAATAAGGCCTTATTTCACCACATGCATTCCGGATTCTGTCTATTAGCATATCCCTTGTGGTTACAGGAGTCTGGTACATTTCTTTTAGAAATCCCCACACAAAGAAATCTAATGAATTTAGGTCAAGGGATCGTGGAGGCCAGGCGACTGGTCCACCACGGCCGATCCATCTTTCTGGATAATTTTCGTCCAGCCAGTTTCTAACTATTCTCGAATAATGAGCTGGACAACCATCAAGCTGGAACCAGGCCAATCTTCTTAAATCTAACATAACATCATCCCACATATTTGCATGTTCAGCCTTTAAAAATTCCTAGAAGGTCGCAGCACTTAACCTTGCAGGCAAAAGGTAAGGTCCAAATAGTCGATTACGGTAGATACCAATCAACACGTTCACACTAAATTCATGCTGAAAATTTCTTTCCCGAACTGCATGTGGATTTTCATGCGACCAAATACGTTGATTATGAAAATTTACCACTCCACGTCTAGTGAAGCATGACTCATCGGTTCATAAAACGTTACTTAAAAACTCCCTATTATTATCAGTTCTATCAAGAATCCACTGACAAAATATCATTCTTCGTTCTCCGTCCCCTGGCTGTAGTCCTTGCACAGGTTGCAAATGGTAAGGACGTCTATGGTCATTTCTAAGAACATGGTGAACATGGCTTGCTGAAATTCCTAAAGCACCAGAAACTCTCCTAACACTTGTGGTCGAATCTCTATCAAACTCACGCAGAATCATACGGGTAAATATACGCTGACGAACATTTATGTTTTGATCCCTTTGAAGATTTCCAAAACCATTTTCAATTATTTGGCGATGCACTCTTACAAATACTGAGCGAGTTGGATGTCGTCTGTTTGGAAATCTTCGTGCGTATTCTCTGACTGCTTCTGCTGCATTTCCATTTACAAAGCCATACACAAAATGAATATCCGCTAACTCTTGATTGGAGAATAAATATGGCATTTTTATAAAACTTACAAAAAAATACAGGTAAAAGAAACTAAATTTCGTGCATTCACAATTGCAAAAAAAACGTTTCAGGTTTCAACAGACAACAAAACTAACTGTCAACTAATTGACGTTTAACCTTATTCTGCTTTCAATTTCAAAAATATTTGCAGGCACAGCCTACTTCTAAAAATTGTCGAGATACTGACTTTTTAACGTTATTTTATCATAAATAATTAAAATTGCATCGAACCTTAAAAATCGAAATATCTCAAAAACGGCTAACTATAACGAAAACTCACAGGAGAGCTTTTTTATGTTCAAAAGTGCGAAGTATCAGTTTTTTTATTCAAAAAGTGAAAAATTGCACTAAGAAAAATTTGTCGGTCATTTTAATACACTACAGGTACAGTAGAGAGCGCCCTCTAGCAGCTACAGTAAAACTATGCCCATGGTTCGTTTTGTCGTACCAAAAAACCCTCGTATTTATACCAATTTTCACTGTTATACATCAAATATTGTTCGAAATATTTAAAAAAAAAACTGTTTTAGAAAGTAAATTTAAACACCCTGTATTTCGGAAGCCACGCATTTTTCGACCCATGTTTATATAGACTTCATGCATTAATTTTAAAAGTTCTATCAAATCTTAAAGTTATGCTACAATAAACTGAAACACCCTGTATATGTAACACTTCCAGTTTTGGACAGTTCTTTAGAATTATTAATTAGTGATATTAAAAAATTATGAATTGGTTAAATGTTAATAAACTCATACACTAATAAAAAAAAGTGCATGTCAATAGGGAAACATTTAGTTGACGATATAATTAGGCTCATGATTAACGATGAGGAAATTGAAGTAGTCGAATCATCTGGGTATACCGTGTGACAATGAAAATTGGACCGACGTTATATTCTTTTTGGCAAATAAAGATACCGCTTCAAGATTGGTACGTTAAGAGGCACTTATGGAAAGTTGAATGGGTTATCTCTTCCTTCCGGTTTAACTGGAAGTGACCTTGACTTTCGTTTTTGAAATGGGACCCTATATACGCAACAAGTAAATTTAGTCCAACAATGATTTATTCACTTGAAAGGCCATACTTTACTCTCCCTTTCTACGTAATTCCCATTACGATTGAGGCATTTATCGTATCTTTTGTATGCTATCGTCAAAGAAGCTTGCCACCTGAGTAGACAACCACTGTTTCACAGTCGTTTTCACTTCGTCAGGATCGAAATGGCGCTGCACCGCCAGATGCTTCTTCAACTGCATAAACAAATGGTATACTATAACTATCTAAAACTGTAATGACTCATCGATGTTCACGTGAACATCACTTAACTACCAGTAGTCGGCTGTTCATAGGCGGTGTATAAATGTTTAACATGGGTGAACTAGATTTGTGACATGCTTAATAAAGAGTGGTTTGAAACATATTGTAAGTAAAAAATTTGGGAATTACCTTTATTCATCGTCGCTTCCACTTACATCTGACAGTAATAAACTGTCGCTATCGCTTTCCTCGTTGAAATTGACTATAACTGGCTCTATGATGGTGTCGATGTGGTGGTCAAGCTGTCACATTTTTGTTTCTTCCTTCACAACGTGACGGATAGCATTCTGCCAAGCTTCAGGCGTTACTAGCTGTATGGAAGTCTCAAGTAAAACCTTAACGTCTGGTAATTTCAAGGTTGTGTTATGGCGCGCAATATAACCCTTCACTTGAGCCCAGATGAGCTCTATTGGGTTCAGTTCACAGTGGTAGGGCGGTAACCGCAGCACAGTGACACCATATTGACGGGCCTTCTCATCAGTCACGTAAGTAATGTTCGCAGGTTTGTGCTGTTTAATTTTTTCATACAATTCCGCTTTCACACATGAATCGTCAAACGGGATTCCTTTTTCGCGCAACCATTGCTGCATGTCACTTTTTCGAGATCCCATAGTCGGTACACGTTCGACTCGACGACTATAGTAGGAAGCATTATCCATGATGATCACAGAGTTGGGCTCAACTCGCTGAAGCACCCCTTGAAACCAGCTCTCGAAGCAGCTGGCATTCATTTCGTCATGGTAATCACCTCCTTTCTTAGAGACGAAAATCAACTGACACTCTTCTAAAAAGTCACTATCGCTACCAATATGAGTTACGATCAATCTTTGACCTTTCCCTGACGGTCCACGAAGACCTGTTGACAAACCTTCAATGCTTGCTTGTCGGTTACTCACTACGTTTTTGTCTATCCAGGTTTTTTTAACTGTGTGACCTGCATTAACCCATGTCTCGTCCAAGTAATAGATTTTTCTACTTTGTCGCCTATATTCAAACATTTCGCGTAGGTATTTTCGACGCCAGGCGACTATTTCAGGTCTCTCTATCAATACTGACTTTCGATTACGCGTTTCGTAACGAAAATTAATTTCGTGCAGAGATTTCCTCATTACCTCGACGCTCATTTGGGGTATAATTTCATTTTCCTTGATCGCTGCATGTACAGCCTTGAGGGTTGGTATCTCATTCCTAAAGAAGAATGAATGTACGGTTCGCCTTAACCCCATTTTGCTATCGTCATCCAATTTAACGGCCTTTCGTCCCTTCAAATTAAACTTTGGATCAGTAGTAGCTCCAGTTTTCTTCTTTTTATGCACCACCCTGCGAATGGTCCACTCTGGAACGCCTGTCATACTTTCACAACGCGCGAGTGCATCTCCCTGCGACATAGTTCTGTTCAGATAATTGAACACGTTGAGCACGATTTCTTTCGCGTCCCTCTTCAGTGCTTTACGAAGCCGTCTACTTGTTCCCTGGCTTTCTGTACTTCCACTCGTGCCATTTGTACTCTCCATGGTTAAGTATAACCAAAACAGTAACCACAGAAACCACAACAATCACACAACAATTCTTATAAAAACACACAATATGCGATCGCTCAACGAAACACGTTCCAATGCGTTGCCGACGCCTATGAGTCTGCCGGTCGAGGCGCGTCTTTGATTTCATTGGTTCCACCGGCGGAGAACAATCAGCCATTATTTCCATCTTTGTCTGTGCTGTTGACCACCGCAAAGCCACAGAAAAGACATATGTCGTACGCTATACGGCTGTACTGGAAGGAAGCCCGGATCGAGCTCTGATCACGTGTTGATCACGCGTATGAGTCATTACAGTTTTAAATAGTTATGGTATAGTCTCTCGGCGCTAGATCGGGACTGTAGGGAGGGTGGTCCAATTGTTCCCAGCCAAAAGAAGCGATAAGGTCTTTTGTTCGATTTGCTGTGTGTGGACGGGCATTTTCGTGGAGCAAAACGACACCTGCACTCAGCATGCCACGCCTTTTGTTTTGAATTGCGCGGGGCAGTTTTTGTAAAGTCTCACAGTACGCTGCTGCATTGATCTTGTCGCCGAGAGTCAAAAAATGTCTGTCCCAAAACACTGTGAACATGATTTTCTGAGCAGAAATTGTTTTTTTGAATTTCACTGTCCTAGCGGATGATGAATGCCGCCATTCCATTGATTGCTGCTTCGATTCCGGTGTAACATACGCTACCTATATTTCATCGCCTGTGACAATATGGCTTAGAAAATCATCCCCCCCGTTACTGTATCGTTCGGGAAAACTCAACGCACCGCCCAATCTTTTGGTTTGGTGCTCATCAGTCAACATTTTTGGCACCCAGCGTGAACAAAATTTCCGATAATTTAATCGTTCGGCCACAATTTCGTAAAGAACACTTCTTGAGACAGCAGAAAACTTTTCAGCTAAGGACGAAATCGTGAATCGTCTGTTCTCTTTCACTTTACAGTCCACTTTTTGAATCAGGTCATCGGTAATGGCTGAAAGTCTCCCACTTAGTTCCTCATCATGAATGTTTGGGCGGACATCTTTAAAGGCCCTAACACATTTCCACACCATTCCATCACTCATAATGTTTCCACCATTTGGTGATGAATGTCAACTGATTTGGAGCCTTGAGCACGGAGAAACCGCATTACAGCACGCACTTCGCCGTCGGCGGGATTCTCAATCGGTGGAGGCATTTTAAAATCACGCAAACAGATGTAGACTCGATCGGATGGTTCTGTAATGACGTCTGTGGATTCCCAACAGATGTAGCTACACGACGCGCATGCTGTGGCGGCGTAATTTAAAAACGGTACTTTAAAAATATTTCCTTCCATAATCGTACTTTATGCAAAATTCACTTTCCAACGATGTTCACAAGTGACATTTTCGTTTTAAAATGTGCGGCGCCCTAAAAGAATTTTTGAATAACCTGAAATCCACCATATTGCTTGCAAGACAAAAAATATTTCAAACTTTCAAGATGGCGATGTGATCAAAATAAAAAAATATAATTTCAGGCAAAGTAATAACAAAAATGTTTTTAGTTTCTATTTTACAATACCAGTCTATCACAACAACACCCTTTGATCACTAAAAACTGAATATATTAATATTATCCTCTTTTATTGTACCTATTTTGCCCAAATAGCCTACTTAAAAAAATTATTAAATATCTTGTAACTAAGAAAACCATTTATATGAGCCGAATCCATGTTTCTTCAAAATCTGCCTAGCTGACTCACGATTTACATTTGTTGTCCGTTCTGATTGCCTAGTAGGTACTGGTCAAAATGAAAATATGTCAAAACATTTATCTCCGCTTCTGTACTTATTATGAAAGACTTCTCTTCATCACCATTGACATCGTCATTCCTAAACTTTGCCTCTAACTTAAAAAAATATGAATAAGTTGGATGTATATATTTCATTAAGCTATGTACAGATATGTAACAACACCGCGAACAGAACAATATTGCAACGAACATCACCACAGACCGAACGAAGTCGTGCAACCACATCGCGCAACAAAATACGATCCAATTTTGTTGTTTGTCGTTCAGTGAAAGACAAATACTAGCCGGAAATGGATATAGCAGTAGCATCAGCTGCCCATATTTATATTCACTCCTAATTATCCAAAAACAAGCGACGGCGACGTCCGAGACGATGGTAACAAACGCAGTGATATACCAATAAATCAGCACATGGTTACAACAATGTGATAGCGGAATTTAAATTCCAACAAGTAAATGGACAGTGCAAAAATTTTACGAGGATGTCTCCGACGGATTTTCAATATATTTTCACGTTGATTGGATCAAAAATACGAAAACAAGATACAAAATTGAGAGCTGCCATCACAGTTCAAGCAAGACTTGCAGTCACTGTGCGATTTTTAGCGACCGGTGATTCAGATAGCAGTTTGCAATTCATGTTTCGAATTTCAAAGCAATCGATCAGCTACGTCATTTCAGATGTTTGTGAGGCATTGATAGATGTTTTAAAGGAAAATATACAAGTAAAAAAAATAATTCTTCTTCTTCTAAGTACTCGTACATTACAAAATAACACATTTGTGCTCGCCGCATCGGTATGCCTGTCCAAACATGTGAAAATTCGTCGCGAGCCATTCCTTCGATGTTGCACTGAAAAACCGACAGAACCTGGATCGGGCCGAACGGCGAGCTGTATACGCTAATCAGGTTCGCGACGACGTTCTTTTCACCGTCTACACTGGCGCGGCGCGGTTCGTCGCGTCGTTTGGTTCCCGGTGTTGTTACATATCTGTCCATGGCTTTAGGATATCGCTGAGCGTACAACGCAGAAACATTTCTAGTTTCTTGTAAAACAAATTGTAAATAATATAATAATAATAAATTGTAAAATTGTAAAACATATTGTTGGTTCATCTTTCCAGAAATGCCTCTTAGGGACTAACTAGTTATGTCCCAATCTTGGAGCGATATATTTATTTGCCAAAAAAATACAGCGTGTTTCCATTTTCATTGTCACCCAGTATATGTGAACCGTAAACTAATGTTTCAAGAGTTTTATGAATACATTATTTCAAAAATATCAAAACATATAAATTACTTTTAAAGAGTTCCCAGTATGCATTCCAAGAAAATTGTTGTGTAGGATATTCTCAAAATTACTAATTCTACAAAATAAACTTATGAGAATCGTTTTAAATATAAACAACTATGCTAAGATTAATTCTATGTTAGAAGAACTGCGGTGGTTGAATGTAAAAAAAATATATGTTCTTATTTTCATATTCAAATTAAAGAAATCATTTATTATCACCAAATTTAGAAAATTTCACAAAATGAATAGTCATTATCATAACTATGAAACTAGAGGCAGTATAGATTTTCCTCTGCAAAATTGTAACAGTCGTAGTAGCTATTATGAAAGGCAGTATTTGAATTTAATAACCTGAAAAATGATATTAAACAGTGCTTCAATTTAAAAGTGCTTGGGGTGAAATTAAAAAATCACTCTATGAATACCCAAAATGCGTAGCGATGTAATTTTAATAGTCAAGAATGAAGAATTACAGAAAATTGATTGAATGTGGGCATAAGAATAATTATACATAATTGACATTGTAGCAACATGCTAAATAAATCTTCAAAAAAGAAACAAAGCTGGTACGGTATGTATCTTATTGTGTATTCTTAGTATATGACTGATGGTAGCTTCCAAGCCTGTGGTGAAAGTAATCGACTGCTTCCAAAGTTTGAACACCTTTATTGGAAGACCCTATAACTTTTAGATGCTATACGATCTCGTCGGACCATGTGAGTTTCTTCCCAGTGAAAGCTTTGTATCTACCATAAGCAAGTTTCTCTGCCAACCAGGAAGTCAGATACCTCTTTTTATCTGTGAGAATATATTGTTTGCATTGGCTGGATTCAATCCCAAAATGAACGTCACACTCTTACCGAAGATAATGTCACACGTACCTGCAGGATGCTCGACAAAAGAATTCATCCATCTGGGACAGGAAATGAGGTCTGGTAAGGGAAAATTTTTAACATTACACGTGGAGCGTTTATAAACTGACCTAATTCAAACTAACTTAATCCCAATTGGGCAAATCCCATATGAGGAGCTTAAAGTTTGTGGTGAGTAATTTGTTATGACTTTTTGTGGTGAAATCCGTGACGTTCTACATTATCAACCGTATTGTGTTTCGAAAAATTCAAGATACCTCGCTTACGTTCAATCGGTTGAGGATGCCATTGTCAATGATCCTAGCAAATTCTGGTCATTTGCCCAGATCAAAAAACAGCAATCTAGAATCCCCCCAAGGATGACGCTTAAAGGCAATGTCTGCGATACGCCTCAGGATATAGTGGACAGTTTTGCTACCTTATTTTCAACAGTTTTTATCCCGTCTGGTCTACTAGGGTCATCTACTCCAACAAATAATTCTACCGATATCATTTCTTAAAAAAATATAAGTGAAGAAAACGTAATTAGGGCTAGTACATTTCTGAAGTACTGGACGGTCAGGGACAAGTTGATGTCATCTTCACAGATATTCAGAAGGCGTTTTATCAAGTTGATCATTATGCACTTCTGGATAAGCTTAAAACAGTGGGTATGTCTGATGCAATGCTGTCGCTCATGAATTCATATTTGAGGGATAGAAGGTTATTTGTGTAATATGGTGGTCATAGGTCGAGTTACTATCGGGCCACGTCTGGGGTACCTCAAGGGTCAAATCTAGGTTCATTATTGTTTTTAATATTTATTAATGACTTGTCTTTTGAACTGAAGTGTTTCCATTTGTTTTTCGCTGATGACCTTAAAATCCGCACGTCAGTCAAGACAGTCGAGGATTGAGTCATGTTGCAAGATTACTTAGCTCTAATTTCGTCATGGTGTTCACGAAACTGTCTTAGTCTGAATGTTTTGAAATGTAAAGTTATGACTTATACAAGAAAAGTTAACTATTTAATTTATGATAATTATAACATCAATGGTCAGGTAATAGACAGATGCGCCTCTTATAGAGACCTTGGAGTCATTTTTGATACCAAGCTAACGTTTACTGATCATATACTCAATATCTCGTCGGCTGCCACTCGACTACTTGGTTTCTGTATCAGAAACTGGAAGGGTTTCTTCAATGTTGATATATTAATGACTTTATTTTTTACTTTTGTCAGGAGCAAGTTGTAGTATGCAACTCTGATCTGGTCTCCTATATACCAAAATTTTGTCGTGATCCTTGAGGCCATTCAACGTAAAGCTTTAAAGTATTTTCACCTTAAATGCACAGGTTCTTATCCAGAAAGAGGTTGTGACCATAGTGCCCTATTAGAGTTTTTCAATTTGGAATCACTCTCAACAAGACGAAACATATTTGCTTTGTCGTTTTTGTATGGCCTCATTCACAATAAAATTGACTGTCAAAATTTACTTGAAAAAATATGTTTCCGCGTTCCAGGGCTAGGGAGTCGACAACAAACGGCATTCTATTGTCAAGCTGGCCGTACAAATGTTATGACAAAATCGCCAATTAATCTCATGTGCTGCGTCATGAACACTGTTACTGAATCGTGTGTTATTTACAGTGATAGTTGTGCATCGATTATTAACTGCTATAGATCATCCAATATTATTTAGAATGTGTGATACTATAGATTTAAGTCCAAGAACCATGTCTCTTTAATTGTTATTTTTTTCAGTGTTTCCTGTAATTGGGTTTCACCTGTTGGAAATAAATAAATAAATAAATAAATAAAGAAGCTGAGATATCTCATCTGATATATACTCAGTGACAGAAGTGTGAAACCCAGAAAAAACAATTTATGCAACTTGTTTTTTTGGCAACATAATAACTATATTTGAAGCTTTCTGTGGCCACAATGAGACCGTTTTATCTTTTTTTTTCGTTTATCTTTGTTAAAATGGTACCTCTTAGTTTTTCTGAAGAAGCTGTTTCTGAGAGCTGAGGAGTACAGATATTTTTAGTTATTGCCATAGTGTTAAGCATAACAAAATGCCTGGACTTCGAAGAAGTCCAAATTATCACCATGTTAGCGATTTTGACAGAATTATTGCCAATCGAGATGTTGGCTTGTCCTATAGCGAAATTGGACGTCGTGTTAATGGTAGTGCAATGGGTAATGCGTGTGTGTCGTGTGTAGATAGAAGAAGGTAGAGGAACACGAAGAAGGCCAGCTGGCCCACCGAGGCGTACCACAGAGGATCAAGATAGGTGCTTCAGACAACTGACCCTACCAGACCGTTTTGCTACTGCGCGTCAGATCGCTGACCAATCGTTTGGAGAAGAAGGTACATCTGTTACTATGCGTACACATTTGAAGTGGAGCAGAGAACGGCAACATTGGGAGGCAGAATGGCATAATGTCATCTTCAGCGACGAATTTATAGGTACGCACGATGGTCGTAGAATGGTAAGGCGCCGTCGTGGAGAACGGCGTGGTATTGAATTTGCCGGTGAGAGGCATGAACACAGGACTGTTGGAGTAATGGTTTGGGGGCATACGCGTTAATGTTTTGCTGTGGCCACCCCTTTCACCGGATTTAAATCCCATCGAACGGGGAGGAGACTGTCCACTTTGCACCATCCTCCACAAACTCTGCCACCGCTAGTCCAAGAGGTTTGAGTTGCTTGAATGAGATGCGACAACCATACATCGATCATCTCATTTTGTCGATGCCTAGAGGTACACAGGAGAGTATTCAGGTACGGGGTCGCCCAACACATTATTAATCTTTTTCTCATTACTTGTCAATAAAATTTCGTGAGAATGTTATCGTTTCATTCTTGATGTAAGACTACCTCATTGTCAAAAAATTACGTTGAAGAAATTACTTTTTCTGGGTGTAACACTTCTAATGTCACCGAGTGTATAATAAATATACGTTCTGATCGTTGTATTCACGCATACCGTGAGCTAAATGTGTCATTACTTTCCTGTCACTTTTTGTTTTATGAGGTATTATTTAAAAAGGTTTTTCACAAGGTTCCCCCCTTGGTCCTCTTGGGATTAATTACGTTTGAGAACCAGATAAAAATTTAGAATCAGATTTTGCTAACTTTCACAAACTTTTCAGAAATATGGCCTTAAACAATCCAAACCAGCTATAATAAATGCTCGCATCGACCCTTTGCTATACTACGTTGCATTACATTCAGATTCGCACTTAATCTTTATATATGGTGATTTGTTTAACATGCTGTATGGTTTTCCATAAATGGATCTAGATAAAAAGTTTGATAAATCGCATGCAGAAATTTTTAAAGAAACAGGTCAAGAAAGGCTATCAGATACCGAAAATAAAAATATTGCAAAACCTATATGAAAATCCCAAAATATACTAAGTGACATATAAATCCGAACACCCAGTTTAAATGGTTTTATTTTAATAAAAGTTGGTGAATGTATTTATCTTACTGTAAATAACAAGTGAAAAATTTTTCAGCCTTATCAGTTGGACATTCCGGTTTTTATACTGCTTTCTTTTGATTCACTAACGCTCTAAAAATGAATATTTCAGCCGCAGTAAAGAATCAACGTTGGCGGATTTTGGTTCTTGACATCCTTTACGATCGGTTACGATGCCTAGAGTACGGAGACTTGTACGATTTCGTCAACTTAGTGAGTTTGATAGGGGCCGTATAGTGGGACTTCGGGAAGCTGGACTTTCTTTTCGGGCAATTGCAGTTAGAGTGCAAAGAAGTGTAGACACTGTGGTTAGGTGTTGTCAGGCATGGCTTCGAGAAGGCCGTACGCAAAGAGCAAGGGGCACTGGACGCCGCCGTAGAACAACAGACCGTGAAGATCGCCGCCTAAGATTATTGGCCTTAAGGGACCGTTTCTCCACTACCAGGTCCATTGCAAATGAATGGTTTGCAGAACACGGAACACCTATTGGCATGGGAAGTGTTTACCGATGAATGAGAAGTTTTGGCTTGTTTTCATACCGGCCACACTGGGTCCTCCCTTTAACTCGAGAACACCGACGTAATCGCCTTGAGTGATGCAGACAACGGTCACTCTGGGATCAGGAATGGAACAGTATTGTCTTTAGTGACGAGTCTCGATTTTGTTTAGGCATGCACGATGGTCGTGCCAGGGTTAGAAGGCGACGTGGTGAAAGGAGGAATCCACAGCTTTTGTTGAAAGACATGTTCATCACACTGTTGGAGTTATGGTTTGGGGTGCTATAGTTTATGGTTCCAGGTCACCTTTAATCTTCATCAGAGGTAACATGAACGCGCAGCGTTATATCCACGAAGTTCTAGAACCCCATCTTTTACCCTATCTTGACACCCTGGCAGATCCAACTTTCCAACAAGTTAATGCCCGCCACATGTTGCAAGAGTCACAATAGACTTCTTTCAACATAATGATGTCACATTGTTACCATGGCCACCAAGATCTTCCGACTTATCCCCAATTGAGCACGTGTGGGATATGATGGGTAGGAGATTGCTCAATTTGTGACGTCCTCCTCAGACTCTAGAAGCAGTTCGAGAGGAGTTGGTGGTTGCCTGGAATGAGATACCACAGGAGGACATTGACCACCTGATCAGAAGCATGCCTAGGCGCGTTGGAGTATGCGTAGCACATCAGGGTGCATCCACACATTATTAAAAGTCAAAGGGCTTTAAAGCAGTGCAATCATTTTGAAATTTTTATCATTTACTTATTGTGCTTCATTAAGTACTTATACAAAATTTTATTAAAATAAAACCATTTAAACTGGGTGTTCGGATTTATATGTCACTTAGTATAAGTAACTGGAGATCCATAGCAACAGGTCCCTTTTTTTAATAAGATACAAAAAATTGGCTCAACTGCAGTAAAAAATTTACAAGGAAAATCAACCCAAGGAAATCAGTCTCTGAAGGCCGATCATATTCTAGTTTCGCTGATATTTCTGTAAGATCTAAAAGAGAAAAAACTTTGCTGTCGCTCAAGTATTGACGTATGCAAAACAAATGAAATCCAGAGCACATTTGTTGTTTCACACATCAATTTTTAGGTTAGTGCAATAATAACATTGTTTCCTTGCCTGTTATGTTTGAAATATAATATTTCTGTGTTTTTTCAAAGTATCCTCCTCATTCAGCAATCACTATGACATTATAATGATCCTATCTTCTACCAAACATCATAATACAAACTTACTTCGAGGATCTGACGCCATCTTGGATACGCTATATTGAATTTATATTTTTTGACAGCAGATCTTGAATCAGTGACTTCAAAAGTCCTTCTGCACCAAACTTCGTGAGGATACTACAGATGTGTATTTCCTGTCATCTTTTTTACTGTTCTAGACCAATGTGCACCCACAGGAATTTTTTTAGGAGGCCTACCACCAGCGGGAGACAATTTTTTGTGAAAGTGTACCTGCAGCAAACAAAATAGCAGGAAGTAGCAAATTTTCTCAGGGGTGTTAGCTCCCCTAAACTTCAAAACCGTGTACAAAATCATGTTAAATGTGTAAAATTTGAGATACGACCGTGTTCTCAGGGGGGCCCCTTTCCTTCCCCTTGTAGCCACCAATGCTGATAGCAATAGTCTGTAAGTTAATGACCAAACCTGATCAACTGTGCAACTCATTTCCGCTGAGGTTGTACGTGATTCAGACAATACAGTATCTGTCATACAGCTACCATTTACGTAATTCAATTTCGATTACTGTAAGGTGTGGTGAGAGTCACAAAGTTGTTGAAAATTTTACCTCTATCCTATTGTTTTCTATGGTGAGGGAGAAAGAGAAATTTGACCTTAAAAATTGTGAACCAATTAAGACGAAAACCTCCTACTTCCACCAACATACCACCTACAAGTCTGGATGTACTAAACAATTACTACTGCACAATAGTAGTAAAACTAAAAAATACTATAAAAAATACTGATAATCTGTTAATAAATCAAAACCATATAAATATATATAGCATTCATGTTTACTTTATCCTACAGACATTTATGAACTGCAATTTGTATTAAGATCTATCAAAATCTTTTAAAAAAAGAACAAATCATCAGGCATTGATGAAATTTCTTTAAAATGTAAGGGCTAATATTTCACTTGATGCTCTTCATACGGGTGTTTACAACGAATTTTTATTGTTATTCCTGTTTATAAAGCAGGTCCAAGCGGCTTACCAGAAAATTGCAGACCCATAATTTTAATTATTATTATAGCAAAAATACTAGAAAAAATAGTCCAAATTAGATCAAGAGACTTTTTTAAACCAGCAAATATCTAATACCTATACTCAAATTTGAACGATAATTAAATTTTAATAGCTCCTTTTTACCATTTTCCCTAAGCGACGTGCCTGCCAAACAGACTCGTCTGAATTTGGCGTCCCATCCCAACCGTGTCGAACTTCGTACATTCAGGACTGGCCGATACGATCGCTTCTTTGTCCCGAGGGTGTCGAGACTATGGAACAATCTACAAGGAAAAGCTTTTCCCAGTTCTACTAACCTTAGGCAGCTCAAAAATCGTATTAACAAAATTTCTTTGGGATCATCATAGCAGCCGCGGTGTTCCGGCATTTAGGCTTCTGCCTGCGCAGCTGTTTCGAGATATATAAAAAAACACTTTAAAAACGAAAAATAATTTTAATATCTTTAATGCCGTCAACTAGAATGAACTAAGATTTGGTACGTGGATTAACTTAAGTATTGTCCACATTCAAAAGCCTTTAATAATTTTTCAAATTAAAATAGTACGCCACTGTTTTTTTTTTCAAATTCTACCTTCAATTTGTTACAAATTATTACTTGTGTGCTTTTTTTCTAGAGTGCATTGATTTCGTAAAAATAAAAGAAAAACAAATTAGATATTCAAGGTTTTATTTCAATAAATGTTTAAAAACACTATCATTCTGACGAATACAAGTGCGGCATGTTTTTATAAACAAAAAAGTATTTTCACACAATTTGCTGTGGCTTGAATTTCATGAAACGCATTATCTATTCTTTCTTGTAACTGATCAACAATATTAAGTTGTTCAGCATGCACTAGTTTAAAAGCGCCACACAAAAAGAAATCCAGAGGGTTCAAATCAGGAGACCTCGCAGGTCAATGTACGGGTCCGTTTCTGCCAATCAATCGTTATTTACAATGATTATTTAACCATGCGGTTATGTCACGACGAACATGCGGTGGGGACCGCCGTGCTGATACCACTATCGTTGCTAACAAACGGTTAGCCATTGAAAATACCGCACCCGACATTTCTAGAAAATCTGTGTTGATACGAGTGGATTCTTACAGAACGGGGATTTTCTAACGACCAAATATGTACATTATAAGAATTAAAGGTTCCTTTTGACCACAAAACCAAATCAATAAAATCTGCGTATTGATTGTGCATTTTCAGTAACCGATCCCAAAAATTTCGCCATAGCACTTCGTCGCCGGGTTGCCGACATTGAACATTTTGTCAGTGGTAGGGATGTAAAACTTCCGATTTGAGATTCTCAACGCAAGACTTTGGGAACATAGTAACTGGGCTGCAATCCGCCTAATACTTATACTAGGACTATCCAACGCCAAATTAATCACTTCCAGTTTCTCTTGAGCAGTATGCCTCTAACTCCGGGAAGTTTGGCAATTTCTTAGAAATGAACGCGTAAAAACCTGTGTAGTAGGTTGAAGTCTGTTAGGAAATCTACTTTGATACTCCCGAGAAGCCGTTAAAGCATTTCCATTACAGAACCCGTACACAAAAGTAATATCGGCGTACCTACTCATAATTGCTAAATTCCATTTCACACCACTCAAAAATGGAAACAAGAAACTTTTGACTTGACTTTTACAAAAACAACAGAATGGTAGTAATAACGATAACAACCGTATAACACATGACCTTGACAAACTATCTCCCATGAAACGTCAAGTTGGTATCAAGGCCTCCTATTTTATTTTGAAACTAATTATATTTTGGCTCTTTACGAATGGTCTAGTTTGTTTTATTTTTATTTTTACGAAAACATTGTAGTACCTACTCTAGAAAAAAAGCACAATAATAACTAGCAAATTGAAGATAAAATTCGAAAAATTGCGTTTCGAAAAATTTGGCAAGATAATGTCACTAATCCCCTGTATCTCCGCCACTGCTGCACGTTAATTCTAAGTAAAGCCTCTTCAATGTGGAACATACTTATGTAAATCCACATAGCAAATTTTAATTCATTCCAGTCGACGGTTGTGAAGATATTAGAAATTTTTTTTTTATTTTCAAACTTCAACACTCAGTATCTTTTTAATAAAGCCCTTGAGGAAAAAATGTTACATAGATGACCCCTTTAAGATGCGGACCTGCATATGTTGATTCAGTTTTGGTCACGACTTGTGAATCACCCTGTATAACTAAAAGCAATCCTAGAGCTTCATGCAGTCCTTCATTTGTAGATCTTAAAAATGCAAATGTCATATCACTGTTCATTTTGAAAACGGCCACTCCTATTTTTAAAAATAAACCTAAATTTGAAACATAATGTAAGTTAGATTAGACGAAAACAGGATCTTAAATTGGTGGTACCTAAGTTAACACTTATGAAGGTGTGGAAGACTCAATAATTCATAATGGTCTGAGGATTTCTGGTACATGTGTCTCCCTGAAGCTATCAAAAGAATTAACAATTCAAAGTTATTCCTTCATCTTAAGCTTTTTAATGTGTAAACCATATATTTCCGAGTGTGAGTTCTACACTTCACTTACTTAAGATCCACATATGTTATAGTTTATAGAGCATGCTTATATTTCTATCTATACTATAAATTATAAGTTGTATTGAGTCATCCTGTTACATTTTCTTGTTCCAGGTCATTTCCGCCAATACGACTACGGCACTAAAGGTAACGAGTTGCACTATGGACAGAAATCTCCTCCGGATTATGAACTAGATAATATTACGACGCCAGTGTATCTCATCTACAGCCAAAATGATTGGCTAGTAACTGAAAAGAACACAATCAAACTTTGCACTAAGCTTGGAACCGCTTGCAGAGGAACGATCATGGTGTCAGACTTTTCGTTTAACCATCTTGACTTTGCGTACGGTACTGATGCTCCCGAGCTGGTTTACCGTAAAGTGATAAGCATGTTTGATCGTCACTAAAGCAATATACAATGTTTTTCAAAAAGGTCCTCCCTCCCACTTTATTTTTTGAACGGGCGAAGTTAGCGAGCTAAAATTCGGTGATGATGAAATTGATGTATACTTAGCGTAGAAGCGGTAGTTGTAAATTCTAAGATGGCGGCTGTGCGGCGTCTGCAAATAGAATGGTCATGTGACACCCCATCATAAAGCTCTTTATGAGTGTTTTATATTGCTAGAGTATGAATCTACTATCTTTCAAAATGATGGACTGACGGGCTGCCCAATCTGAGCCTTTCCTACATTGAGTGGCTTATAACTCTATAAGTAATCATAAAAACGGTATAATAGCCATATCAGTCCACATATTTTGGAATGGTTTAGCTAAATGTATAATATTAATAGCCTTTATTGCCCCACAGAATTACAGCAGACGCTCGATAATGTAAACTAATTTAATCCAAGTGTGGTTCACATTATCGAAATGTTTACATTAGCGAACGTGATTTATATAATACTTGATTTAATAAAAGAACCGTTTATAACAAAATAAACAAATTTCTAACAGCGATAAGTATCTTTTTAATTAGAAGAAAAATAATTAACAATTTTTGTCTGCGTAAATTTGCGCTTAGCATTGTCTTCCGATGCCTGCGCCCGTAATTTACGAAGAACTAAAATATCCGTGTATGAAACTTCTTTTCTTTCAGCCCAATCTGAAGCTTGGTTAAAAACTTGTATAGCTTGCGCGTCAGTCACTACACTTCTGACTTCAATGGGATCGTTCTCATCATCCTCACTGTCCATATCCTCCTCCTTATCAGCATCATTCGTCTGCTTATCTTCGTTCCATAAATTAATATCAGCAGGAGTACAAACAATGTTGGGATTCAATGTTTTCAATAAATCAACAACATCCAATGACACACTAATAACATTATCATTATTGGATCGCAAACGTTCTCTAATTACGCTTAAGGGGACATCGTCTTCTTCATCATCTTCATTATTGGTACAAAAGAGATTGTTCCAACATTTTTGAATAGTTTGCTGGTTAAGTTCATTCCAGGCCATATGTAAATCTAAAACAGCTTCTCGTAATGTTACTTTTTTTAAAGCTTCAGATAAGTTTTCAGGATTCTTTGATAAGACAGACGAAAGTAGAAACTGTCTATAGTATAGTTTGGTGAGTCTTATTATATTCTGGTCCATCGGTTGAATTAACGGTTTTACGTTGGGCGGAATGTACATGACGCAAATTGACCCATCCCTGCTCTTCAGTTGTTGCTCGGGAGGATGACTTGGTGCATTATCCAATAGTAACAACGCTTTTATTGGAAGCTTCTGTTGTTTTAGGAAACCTTTTACCTACAAATTGAAAACATATCTTCAAATTATGAATAGAGCATTTGTGATAATTGATTGTCATACCTGAGGGACAAAGCACCTGTGGAACCATTTCAGGAATATACTGCTAGTCATCCAAGCGGTTTTTGAACAGTCATAATCAACAGGGATATTAACATTTTTAAATGAGCGCGGATTTTTTGCTTTACCAATTACCAGTGGCTTTATTTTGTGTGAACCATTAGCATTAGTGCAGGCTAGAAATGTTATTCGTTGTTTCTCCGGCTTTCTTCCCGGGGCAGATTTTTCAAATGATGCAGCATAGGTTTTCTCTATTAACATTTTCCAATAAAGGCCACTTTCATCTGCATTGTAAATTTGTTCCTTTCTTAAATCTAGCTCGGTAATTGTTTTCATCAATTTTTCTTTGAATGGTTGCACTAATTGTGGTTGTGCTGATAATTTTTCACCAGATATAGACAGCAGTCGAATTCCATATCTTGTTTTGAATCGTTGTAGCCAGCCATCACTAGCTACAAAATTTTCAGTTTCTTTCAGTTTTTCATTTAACAGTCTTGCTCTCTGTTTAAGTACTTCGCAACTAACTGGGACATGATTTTCCCGTTGTTTTAAAAATCACTTATACAGGGAATTTTCCATTTTGGGTGCCTTCGCATTTTTTAAAGTTTTCCTTTTTCCCGGACCTCCAAATGTATTGCACGTTCTTTGTAAAATTTGAGTTTTCATACGCTTCATTTTACAGATTGTTGCTTTCGATACTCCATATTTTTTGCTAACTGTGTCACTCCCGCATCTAGTGCAACTTCGTCTATGATTTTCACTTTCTCACTCAACTTTAAACACTTTCTTTTATAGGATGTGGATGCCATAGTCGTAAAATATATTAACGCGTGCAATGTACAATTAAGTTCAAAAATGAAATACATACGTACGTATAAACGTATCCTAAACGATCATACGACTGACCGAGTTTTCTCTCTACATCATAAATCGGGGACTCCCCGACGCCCGACATAAATCATCGAGGCTTCAGCATTTTACCGTCACGCTGTTTCCGTGCGCCGAGAGTTGTTTACGTTATCGAGCGTACGCATTGTTTACGTTATCGCGCGTTCCGTTTGATCCTATGGAACGAAGTTTGTGTTTACATTAGCGCAAGTTTTCATTATTCCGTGTTTATGTTATCGAGCGTCTGCTGTAATTCCATTCACAGGGCAAAGAACCGACACCTGGCACAACAAGAAAAAGAAACTAATGACAGTAGTTTGTTCAATCTTAAGACGATAGGAAAGTACTAATATAATAAATTATGCTTAACCGTATTTGAGGTGCTGTCATGTAACCCTTTTGACTTGAGTAAGAGAACAGACAAAGATATGTAGAATAAATTTAATGTTGCGTATTCTGTTAAAGTTGATGCTAATGACTCATATGGGTGAGTTAGAGCAAATCTGATGTTTGCAAAACAATGATTGCTTATGCTAGATTGGTTCTCGTATATTATAATTTATTACCAATAAAATAATGCTAAAGATGGATTCGCGCATCAGAGAATAAAAATAAACATAAAAGTAGAGTTAATATAAAACATGCAATATTTTTCTCTTTGAGTAGGTAGGTATTTAATATAATACGAACCTTAAGGTTAATACTAGCTTCTCAATAGGACGGATGACTTTTCGAAAATTTGTATTTTATTTCTGGACACGCCTTTCTACTTTTGTTAAAATTTATGAAAAAGTATTTTCATTCATTCGAAAAAATCTGTAAAACCTTTCGGAGTCTTCTTGTACAAATGAAAAAACTCTCCAAATCTTTCTCTCGATCGATTGATGTTGTGTGTCCAAAATCTTCTTTTCTTGGCTAAACGTCGTTTTATTAGAGGATTCTCCAATAATAATAATAATAATGTTGTGTCCATCGCGACTGTTCACTGACTATTCTGGGAAATTAATAAAGATCCGCCTTTTGAAACGCATTAAATATGCACAGAAATCTCTAGCGTTTGGTATCGCATCGATACGTATCGCAACGACTTCCCCTTGCTGTGTGCACGTACAAATACAGTAATGGACAAAAGTATCTAGACAAATTAATATTGTGCTGTATTTCTTTTTTAATTTGTTTTATTAACACACGAACCTGTTTATATAATTCGTTATAGCATAATAGTCACTTATACATAAATAAATTCATTAGACTCCCTTCAATAAAAAATTAATTAAAAAAAAAACTAGAACTATGAAGGACAAAAATATATAGACAAAGCAAAACAATTATAGAAAAAAGAAGCAAAGTTCATTGAATTATAGAAAACCAACCATGTTTGTGTTAATATTTTGTAGCTTAACCATTATTATCAATCACCGCCTGGCATCGTCTCGGCATAGATTGTAGAAGTTTCTTGATATAAGATTCATCAATCTGTCTCCACTTTTGCTCTAAAGCAGCAAAAAGTTCATCCTTGTTTGAATAATTTTTATCTCGTATTTGCTTATCTAAGTATTCCCATAAATTTTCAATGGGGTTTATATCGGGAGACTCTGAAGGCCATTTGAGAATTGGTATTCTTTCATCCAGAAAGAATTTCTTTGCGAGATTTGAAGTGTGCTTCGGGTCATTATCTTGCTGGAAGATTGATCTTAAGGGCATATTGTCTTCCGTATAGGGTAACATGACATGCTTTAGTATGTCTGTGTATACAAACTTATCCATAATGCCATCTATTATATGTAAAAGTCCCATCCCAAACACCAAAAAGCACCCCAAACCATAACAGACCCGCCTCCATGTTTGACAGTGGGCAAAGTGTACTTGGGGTTCAACCTTTGTCCACTAGGACGTCTAATGTAATGAACACCGTCTGATCCAAACATATTCGTCACTGAAAGGTACCCTCTTCCAGTCACATATGCTCCAATCAAGATGCAACCGTACAAATTGTAGTCGGTCCTTAGGGTTTTTCCTCGAGATTAGCGGCTTTTTACTTGGGCGACGTGCAAATAGCTTCAAATCATTTACTACTTATAGTTTTCATGGAAACACTGACAATTCCTTTTGTCTCGATTTCGGCTTTTATTTGTCTTGGGGTTTTAAACGGATCTTTGGACGAAATTACTTTTATTATTCTAACTGATCTAGCATTTAGTTTTCTAGGTCGACCACTTCTCTTAGAGGCATCCAGGATCCCTTTTTGTTTATATTTGTTCAATATTGCTTAAACTGCTTTACGCTTCAGCTTCAAATTTTTGGCAATGTCGACTTGACCTTGACCATCTTTGTATAACTCAATGCTCTTAGGTTTCACATCGAAGGAAATTTCTGGACCACGCGGCATGGTCTTAAAATCAATCAACTTATTCCACAATACTTGATGAACACAAACTAATTGTGTTCTGACACGAAACTGTACTAAACTGTTGAAAAGAATTTGTCTACATGTTTTTGTCCATCATAAAAAAGTGCTTATATTCAGACTTGTGTTGTGTTCATTGCAGATAATGTAAAAACAAGGAATTTAGTTTTTCTACTAATAACGCATTTGCTTATGGAGCAATGAAGTAAGAATTTGTTTTCTAGAGGTATTTAGGTAAATATTCATATTTGTCAATATTTATACTTTTGTCCATTACTGTATGTTTCAATGCTGCGAAACTTTTTGAGCCTCAATTGCAACAAATGAGTGACAAAACTAATCTAGGAGATCTGTGGTTCCAACAGCACAATTGAGACAAATGTTTCCTGGTCGACTCGAACCTTTGTGAGCTGACTTGGGATGGCCAGCGTGCTCGCCAGATTTAAGCATCTGCGACGTTTTTTGATGGGGTTATTTGAGGGATAACATTTTTAAACACACACTTTAGATGAGCTAAGGACCCGAATTGTTGAGGAAACATCCACCATACACCCAGAAATGTGTAGAAAAGTAGCTCAAAACTTCAGAAATAGACTACATTAGTGTATTTCTGCTGAAGGCCACTATCGTGCTGAAGTTAATACGGCTCTGTCTACCTGGCATTGACGGATCTGTCAGAATTAATTGTCCTATGCCGATATGAGGAATTTTGAGATATTACTTTATAATCGGCTGTCATTCTACCTTGATGGATACTGATGAAAAAGGGTTGATTTACCGCCGCTTTTATTATGTTTCTATCAACGTTGCCCATCTTGACCGGGCATTAATGACTTTGACCGATAAATAATGATTTATCGTTATTGCTTGTTACATATACAGGGTGTCCCAGAAGTCGACGTCAAGCCGAAACCGGGTGATAGGCAAAGTCATAACAGCTATCAGAAAAATATTTAAAAAAATTTTATGTATGTGTTTTGAAAATTATAGGTCCTTGAAAAAGATATAGAAATTTCACACCCTACGGCAGTCTGTCAACTCCTGTTACTACAAATATTAACTTTTTTTGGATTTTATTTTTACAATTTAATGATGAATAATGCATCTTCAAACTGGTGTTTCAACCTTACTGCCAACTTTTCTCGTTCAGGAAAAATTGCCACTTATTTCCCAACCAAGTATTAAAAAGTAAAACTTTGCTCAACTTTAACTGGCTGTACTGGAAAAAAATGTACTACGAGAGTTTGGCAAGTAACCTTGAAAGTTGGCGCACTTAATAACGATTCCAAAATGGTATAACACTTAGAAGATTACTCGTTAACTTATGCACAATTTTTATTTGAAAAAAAACTGATGAAAATTTTTCAAAATTTCCAAATTAAACAGCGATTATGAAAACGCACAAGGACCCTTAAGGATAACTGTTTGCACAACAGTGGGCGTCAAAATGCTGCTGATGATGATTTACCTTTACAGCAAATGCTCAAACTGTTTTCCTTCAGCCGCAATACACGCTCGACATCTTAAAAAAGATCGGGTTATTAAACGAGCGAATCCACGGTTATAAACAAACTCAGCTGCTTCCAATAGTCTTTGCCGTAGCTCAGCTACATTTTGAATCGGCTTGAAATACACTTTTTCTTTTACAGTTCCCAGTAAAAAAATATAAAGGATTCAAATCAGGTGATCGGGCTGGCCACGGTATTGTACCAGACCGCCTTATCCATCTGCCTGGAAAGTTTTGATCGAGATACTCTCTCACTGAGAGTGCATAGTGCGCTGGACAGCCATCATGCTGAAACCACATGTCCCTGTAAATACTCAGTGGCATGTCCACCAATAAATTATGTACATGATTTTTCAAAAAATCCAAATAAACTTCAGCAGTCAAAGTCTCTGGGAACTCAAACGGACCGATTATTTTACCATTTAAAATTCCTGTCCAATGGTTTATCTTGAAGCGATATTGAGATTTATCTTCTCTCGTCAAATGTGGGTTTGCTACGTGCCACTCGCGTAAGTTATGCAGGTTCATGTACCTATCTTTCTTAAATGTGGCCTCATCCGACCATAAATTTTTTTCAAAGAAATGTGGATCTTTCCTGTGTCTTTCTAACATTGTTGATTTCGTACTGTTACTAATTTTGGATTCGTGAACTGGACTGTTGATCGCTTGTGATTTGGATTTGGACTGTTTAATTTCTCTTCAAAACAACATTTGCTTTCCTTAGACTATCTTTGATAGTGTGAGTGTGCAGTGCCGCTATGTCCGTGTACACCGTAAAAGAATATGCTAACATGCACCTCATTTATGGGGAATGCAGATGCAATGCTAGTGCTGCAGCGAGACTTTACTGTGAGAGGTACTCGAATGCAGCTCGTCATCCAGATCATCGAGTGTTCACAAATGTCCATCGCTTACTGTTCTCAGAGGGCCAACTACCAAACCAATCACACGGTGAGGGAAGATATTTCCTTCCTTATGAAGACGTGGTGCTAGGAGCTGTCGAATAAGACCCGAGTACTTCAGTGCGTGCAATAGAACTAAAAACAGGTGTGCCCAAAAGTACAGCCCATAGAATCTTGCAAAAAAACGTGCTCCATCCATACCACGTACAGCGTGTTCAAGCTCTTCTGCCCCGGGATTATGAGCCCCGAGTTGCTTTTTGTCGCATAATGTTAGAAAGGCACAGCGAAGATCCACGGTTCTTTGAAAATATTTTATGGTCAGATGAGACCACATTTAAGAAAGGTGGGTACATTAACTTGTATAACTTACACGAGTGGCACGTAGCAAACCCACATTTGATGAGAGAAGATAAATCACAATATCGCTTCAAGATAAACCATTGGACAGGAATTTTAAATGGTAAAATAATCGGTCCGTTTGAGTTCCCAGAGACTTTGACTGCTAGGTTTATTTAGGTTTTTTGCAAAATCATTAAGAAAATTTATTGGAGGACGTGCCACTGAGTATTTACAGGGACATGTGGTTTCAGCATGATGGCTGCCCAGCGCACTATGTACTCTCAGTGAGAGAGTATCTCGATCAAAACTTTCCAGGCAGATGGATAGGGCGGTCTGGTACAATACCGTGGCCAGCCCGGTCACCAGATTTGAATCCGTTAGATTTTTTTTACTGGGGAACTGTAAAAGAAAAAGTGTGTTTCAAGTCGATTCAAAAAGTAGCTGAGCTACAGCAAAGACTATTGGAAGCAGTTGAGTTTGTTAATAACCGTGGATTCGCTCGTTTAATAACCCGATCTTTTTCAAGATGTCGAGCGTGAATTGCGGCTGAAGGAAAACAGTTTGAGCATTTGCTGTAAAGGTAAATCATCATCAGCAGCATTTTGATGCCCACTGTTGTGCAAACAGTTATTCTTAAGGGTCCTTGTGCGTTTTCATAATCGCTGTTTAATTAGGAAATTTTGAAAAATTTTCATCAGTTTTTTTCAAATAAAAATTGTGCATAAGTTAACGAGTAATCTTCTAAGTGTTATACCATTTTGGAATCGTTATTAAATTCGCCAACTTTTAAGGTTACTTGCCAAACTCTCGTAGTACATTTTTTTCTAGTACAGCCAGTTAAAGTTGAGCAAGTTGAGCAAGTTGGAATACTTGGTTGGGAAATAAGTGGCAATTTTTCCTGAACGAGAAAAGTTGGCTGTATGGTTGAGACACCAGTTTGAAGATGCATTATTCGTCATTACATTGTAAAAATAAAATCCAAAAAAAGTTAATATTTGTAGTAACAGGAGTTGACAGACTGCCGTAGGGTGTGAAATTTCTATATTTTTTTCAAAGACCTATAATTTTCAAAACACATACATAAAATTTTTTTAAATATTTTTCTGATAGCTGTTATGACTTTGCCTATCACCCGGTTTCGGCTTGACGTCGACTTCTGGGACACCCTGTATACCTACAATACCTTGCATGCATTTTAAGGTCTTAGGGCGTCGAAATACGAATATCTGAAAATAATACACATTTATATTGGCACAATAAATAAGCATCACACAAACGTATCTCGATTTCTAGTGAGGTCTCTTAAGGTACCCCACGAATAAGACAAGAACTGGAGCCACGCTCCAAAAGATGCAATTACACAAATATACGACAAGTGCTATGTAAGCAATATTGTTAAGTACATCTACTTTGTATAAGACAATTATAAAATAAATTAATATCACAAGAAACGCCGAGAGCGTATCCACTGCTCCTTTAATCATTGTCCATTTTCTGGCTCCGATAAACCATCTGTGGATGACGGCCTCTGTGTAGCTTATTATGCCGAAGCCCAAACCGAACATCAGGCAACTGAGTATTGTTAGGTCGTTTTTTGGTCGCAACTTCGTCAGAACTGGAACAGACCATTGAAATTAATGAGTCGTACTGAATCAGATACTCGTAGGTATACAGGGAGTTTCATATTCGACCGTCGCCATTGGACTCTCGGAAACTGTAAGAGACACGAAGTCGCTTGAATAAGGGTAAAGTTGCGTATTTAAATAACTAGCAAAATGCAGTAGAAACTCCTATATTCAAAGTATGGGTTTGTCCAAAACGGACGCAGGAAAGTAAACGCATATTAAAACAAGAAAGATTGATATTCAAATCAAGTTGGGTACTTTATTTTGAAGGTTAATTTATACCATTTATGTATGAAAAATAATATCGCTCAAATGTTCACCACGACTGGATTTACAGACGTCCACGCGATGGTCGAAATTTTCAATGACATTTTGCAACATGGTCGGTTCTATGGCATTTATCTCGGCAATGATGTTGTTTTTGAGTTCTTGGAGGGTGGCTGGTTTGTTGACATAGACATTGCTTTTCAAATATCCCCATAAAAAGAAGTCTAAGGGAGTCAAATCGCACGATCTTGGTGGCCATGGCACATTTCCTCTGCGCGAAATCACTCGATCACCGAAGAAGGACTGCAATCGATGGATATTGACGTTGGTTGTGTGGCATGTTGCACCGTCTTGTTGGAAATAAACATCGTCCATATCCATTCCTTCAAGTTGCGGCAAAAATAGTCCTCTATCATCACGAGATATCGCTCAGAATTGACGGTAACAGTGTCCCCGGCCGCATTTTCGAAAAAGTAAGGTCCGATGATGCCTTTTGACAACAATGCACACCACACAGTCACTTTTTGAGGATGCATCGGCTGCTCTTGATACCCACGGGGATTTTCGTTCGCCCAGATGCGGCAGTTTTGCTTGTTTACCGTCCCATTCAAAGTGAAATGCGCTTCGTCGCTGAACATGATTTTTGATGAAAAATTGGCATCAATTTGGTGGTGTTTAAGGAGCCAATCTGAGAACGTTCGGCGCGAAAAATGGTCGGCCCGACGCAGCTCTTGCGTCAATTGGATCTTGTAGGCGTGTACATTCAAATCCTTGTGGAGAATGTGGAGCAAACTGGTTCTCGAAATGCCCAATTCTTGGGATCGACGCGTTGTTGATTGTTTCGAATCGCCTCTCACACTCTCCTTCACAATAGCAGTATTTTCCGGTTTGCGAACGCTCCTTGGCCGGCCAGAGCCTGACAGATTTGCCACAGAACCTGTTGCCTCGAATTTACACACCAGACGACCGATGGTTGTTTCGTTTGGGCGGTTGTTGCGACCGAAATGTTCACGAAGCGCGCGAAACATGTTTTTTATTTTTGCACCATTTTTGTAGTGCTCTTGAATAACTTTAATGCGGTCTTCAATCCAATACGACTCCATAGCGATCAATGGTAAAAATTCAACTAACAAAATGACATGTCGGTAACAGAAAGATGGCGTCTAGGTCAAATTGACGTTTACTTTCCTGCGTCCCTATTGGACAACCGTTACTTCCGAAGAGAGAAAAAAAAACGATGTTCCCAAATTAGTCTTAATTTTATCACGGCTTTATTTGTAGTGGAATTTCATTAACATTGCCTCTTTTTTTCTCTACAAGATGGCATAATTGAGGAGCAGACTTTCCAATCGCACATTGTCCATTTTGGACTTTTTACAGGAAAGGTGAAAAACATCTGTAAGCTTATTGCTAACATTTGAAAAACGAGTAACACATGACAAAAAGTATTTTATTATCAACAGTTTCTTATAGTAACAAGGCTCAGCAAATATTAATAATTTTCAAAAAAAAATTGAAAACTTTAATGGACAAAGGGCTCTTTGAATGTCCATAATGGACAAAGGCCAGTCCGTTCTGTCCATAACTGAAAAATGATTTCAAACTTAAAATTCTAAAGCAAACAGTTCTATTCCAATTATACAGAGTGACAGGTAAATAGGTGTAAAACATTTAAGAGGTGATAGTTCAGCCCCTTTGCTATCCAAATTAGTATATAATACCATACCCTATATTCAAAGGTTGAAAAGTTATTGAAGATTTAAGATTTTTTTAAAAACAATCCACATTTCAGAGTAAAAAAGTCGAGAGAGAAAAAAGTTGGCGTTAAACATTTGTTTTTTGTGGTTTTGGGTTATTATTTCAATAATTAACTATTATAAATTAAAGAAGATTCGAAAACAATACCAAACAACGTATTTATTTTCATTCAAAAATAATTAACTAAGAAAAACAAATAACGTTTTACAGTAAGTAAGGTGTTTTACAAAAAAATCGGTATACAAAAAACCGTACAAACAATTTAAATAATATCCTTGTTTCATAAGGAATCTAACTTGGTATGATAAGTGCACAAAAACTATGTGAAACTAAACATAATGTATTGTAATACAACAATAGGGAGTAAATTTACCAATGGCTTGTCTCCTATTTTCACAACTCTCTTATTGATAAGAAAGTGTTTTTGTGAAAATAATGTAACTGTAAGCTATCGGATAGTTATTACCTTAAACTACGGTTAAGTTACACGATTAGATTATTTACACAGGTGTAATTGTACTACAGAATAATGAAAACTGACTAAAAGTTACTACAATTGGTAAGTAAAATACAATAATGAAATGAAGGTAAAATTCATTGCAATTGTTGTTCGAACTGACGCCCTCCGTTTCTTATGCAAGCCCATAGTCTTTTTCTCATGTTGGTACGTTAGTTGTCCTCTGATAGTAGCAGCAATAATTCTTTCTTTCAACTGCGCAAGAGTGTCTAACACCCAGACGGAAGTGCGCGGGACAGCCATCGTGTTGGTAGATCATCTGCATGCTGATATTCAGAGGCAGGTCTTCGAGATCCTTCCAGAGTTCGGATCGCAAAAAGTTTTCATAGGATTCGCCATTCAGGTTGTCAGGCAAAAAAACTGGTCCAATTAGATACGTATGAATTATTCCCATCCACACGTTTGCCGAAAATCTTCTTTGATGGGCTCTTGGATTTGCCATGTGGTGATTTGCCTCTCGTGGGGCCCAATAATGTAAGTTGTGATAATTTGTTGTCCCCTCTCTGTCAAACTTAGACTCGTCGGTCCACATAATTTTAGTTAAATAGTCGTTTTCTTCTTGATCTCGATGAAGCACGTATCGACAAAAATCAACTCTTCTTGCGGGATCTCCTTCTTCTAATACTTGAACCGGTATGTAATGGAAAGGGTAAAGTCTCGCCGAATGCAAAACGAACCAAACTTTCCACTGAGTTAAACCAAGCTGCTTTGCTATAACTCGTGTAGACGTCGTCGGGTCTCTGCCGTAGCATTCCAGTATTGCCTCTCGATCTTCGTCGTCAAACAACCAAAGTCTACCAGCATCATGACGTCTCTCATGAACCTGTCCACTTTCCTTGACGCGTCGGTACACAGAAGCAAATACTCGATGGCTCGGTATTCGCCGATTCGGAAAACGGTTTTCGTATTCTCGCCTGGCTTCAACGGAATTTCCATCACTTACACCATAACAAAACAGAATATCAGCGTATTCTTCGTTACGGTAACTCGCCATTATTAAAACTGATAAAAAAAGTAGAAGTACGTCCTACCGCGTTAAAGGTTGAGTAGTAGAATTACTAACTAACCTAAGCGTTAGTTCCCTTTCCTTGATCCGTCAGCTGTATCAATTCATAACACACGCAGAGCTTGCTTCCGAGGAGCGACGATAGATTCCGAATACTTAAACCCGAATAACGGCACAGAGAACAAAAAATAACAAAAAGGGTCGAACTATGAGAAGCTCGGTTTACCTGGTCAGTACAATGAAATGCGCATAGCGATCCTTTCTAGCAAAGTAATATTGTTTTGTTAAATGGTTTACTTACTGATATGTTATTATACCATTTTAGAAACCTAATGAAACGAGGAAGTTTTTGCAGTTATTTGTACATTTTCTTTATTATGATTTTTTTGAAAAAAAAAATACTTCTTAATGTGAAAGTTGAAAATAAAAATTTTCATTTAACATTTAAATGAAAATAAATACGATTTCAGTAGTGTTTTCATATGTTTTTTGAATTACGAGAATTATTTATTTAAATAATAACCTGAAACCACCAAAAAAAGAATGTTTAATCACCAACTTTTTTTATCTCAACTATTTTACTCTGTAATCTGGGTTGTTTAAAAAAAAATTAAATCTTCCATAACTTTTTAACCTTTGAATATAGGGTATGGTATTATATACTAATTTTGATAGCAAAGGAGCTGTACTATCACCTCCTAAAATGTTTTACACCTATTTGCCTGTCACCCTGTATTAGATGTAAGACGTATTCCGCCAGGCAGCAACATTCTTCGCCATCTTCACCGTGGCCACAGCTCTGCTCCTTTCTTTCGTTGTCACCATGTTGCCTATACAGATCTTCCAAAATTTTGTCAAGCCATATTAACTCTGGATCTCTTTCCCAATTTTGGCCTGATAATCTTACTAAAAATGTAGATAAACTTATCATTTCTGTATAATAGTTCGGTCTTATACAAGATTTCACCTCCACCACTATTAGATGCTTGTCTTTTTATGATTATTCTGTTGGCCTCGGAAGTTCCTGCAATTTTTTTATTTCAGTTTCCTCGTCCTGGCAACTCCATCAACATCGCCAACCACATGCTCTCTATCACTCATGTTGTTCTAACTTATTCACAGAATAACATCTTTTCGCTATCACTACTTGACAGCACTCTCATTTGACAGCTGATACTGTTGTACTGCAGCATTGACAGATAGACAAATCGCACATTGCTATTTGATTGTCTTGCAGTTTAGAATCTTGTAGTAAGCAGTGCCATGAATCGAACGCCACCTTTGGGCAAAAATGTTAAAATATGGACAAAGTGCGATTAGAAAGTCTACTCCTCAATTAAAATTTCAATATGACGTTTCGTCTCCTGGGTTCTTAATTAAGATTTCAAAAATGTGTAATCTACTACAAGTTGACATTGCCAAACCTTAGTTATTGCAGAAAA